TGAACATAATCTGGGGAGGGAAGTTAAGTGCTCTTCTGGGGGACCTGCGTGCCACAGAGGGCAGTGCGTCGCTGGTGATCATCTCTGAGGAATAAACTGGTGGAAGTATTGCTTTTCCATGCGTTTTCCTGAGGCGCTAGGGAGGTCCTATGGGAAGAGTTAGGGGCTGGGGTTGATTCTCTCCTACTCGAGTGGAGGAATCAGTGCCTCCTCCCATTTTCCCATCTAGACATGACAGAAATTGAGGCGTTTTTTTGTTTGTTTATTTATTGTTGGGTGTTTTTTTTTTATAATTCAAAAGAAGAAATTAAACTGTGGTGGGATGGAGCAACAGAGTAAGGTAGAGGAAGGGATTAACAATTTGTTTTACTTACCTCATAAGGGGTCTTATGAAGATTCAATGAGCTCATACTTGTAAATGGCTGAGAACATTGCGGGGCACACAGTGAGCCCACAATAGTGACATGAGCTGTTTGTGGTCAGTTACTCAGCTTTTGGGGCCAGACATTGTGCCAGGTGCTTTACATGCATGGCTTTATTTGATCCTCATCCCAGTCCTGACACAGATGCTCAGGTAGTCAGGAGTCAGGGGGCAGAGCTTACCTTCAAGCCTGAGTTCCCAGTGGTTATTTCTTCCATTCCCGAGTGGGGAAGGGAATGTAGTTTGAGTGCGTATCATGCCCCAGGCACTGGGCTAAGAGCTTTATGTTTGTATTTCACAGTAACCCCATACGAAAAAGATTGTCTCCCTCCATGTCACAGACGAAGAAAGTGAGGTTCAGAGAGGTTAAATAACTTGTCTAAGGTCAAAGGACAAATTCTTTATGGGATGTTTGTCTACCTGACTGGAAGCGACTGGACTGCTTTATTTTGAGGACCCTCGTGCTGGAGAACACACCACTATTCACAGCCATCTTCCAGTCCTTCTACCCAAAACCCAAGGGGCATTCACTGTTGGGGTCTAGATTTCAAACTGTAAAAGCGAGGTGCTGTTTGTTTCCAGTGAAAGGCGACACCTGCTGGACACAGAAAGCTGGGCTGTGGAACTGTTTTTGGAATTAGAGTTGGATACTGGACTTCAGGCAAAGAAAAGAAACCAGGAATGTAGACAAGTACTGGGGGAGCTTAGCCTAACAAGAATTGTGGAGGGAGGACAAGGGTTAGGAGACATATTTGTGTGGGGGTATCTATGCAGGAACACATACGATCGGAATCTGATGAGCTGGGGGGAGGGCGCAGAACACTGTGGAATCTTCCTGTGTGATGCTATCCATGGTTGTGAGAGGGGTGGTCATGGGAGCTAGAATGCTTCATCCTTGGACAGATTCTATGCTGATGGGGGCCTGGATAAGAGTGGGGGTAGCGCAGTTCATACGACTTGATGTCCAAAGTAGGTGCTCAGTGTTTGCCCCATAAGTGAATTGATCTCCACATCCATGGTTTCACCAGAAGGATCCTTGTGATCAGGGCATCTCCTCTGGAAGGAGTTTACTGAAGAAGTCAGTGAGAGGGGAAAGTGCTCATGAATTCAAAATAGTTATTCTCTGAGCAAGGCCAAAAAAGGGAGGAAGAGAAAGAGTGCTGTATGTTGTGCTAATCAGTAAATGTAGGCTGAGAAATTAATCTGTATACATTTTATCAGTTTTATGTTTCATGTTTATAAAATTTTTGTATACCATTTAATTAGCTTGTGCATCATATAAATAACTTTCCACCTCTGCTTGACTGTGTGTTTTCTTTCATAACTTCCTGTCTGAAGCCTTGTCATGTTTCATTTTCATTTTTGCATTCACTGTTGTTTTTTTGGTTTTTGGTTTGTTTGTTTATTTGTTTGAGAAAGCAAATTCCATTTGAAATGCTAGTCTAGTCTGGGGGTGGGGCTTTGGGTCTTGTCCGTGACTGGCCAGTTGTGAAGAAGAAGCTGCCCAGCCGAAGGGTCTGGGTCTGGTCACAGCAGTGGGACTCAAAGTGACAGGAGCCCCGGAGGAAGGAAGGAGTCAGCTAATTGCACAGTTTCCAGTTTCCCTCTGGAGATTCCCATGCAGGCTTTTCTCTTCCCTCACCTTGTAGGTTTTTGTTTTATAGGGAAGGTTTTTCCCATCCAGATGGGGAGCAGGAAAAAGTGCCATGTAGGTCTCCTGGGATCCAGGAAGCCAGATTACAAAAGGGAGAAAAGGGAGGATGTACCTGTCATTACATGAGAGCGAGTGGTTCTTGGAAGGAAGGAGAAGGGTGATAGTGGGCTGGCTCCAGGACTGTGTGAGGAGAGGAGAATATTAAACATAATGAAATGCCATGTGTGTGTGTGTGTGTGTGTGTGCGCGTGCGTGCGTGTGTGTGTGTGTGTGTGTGAACGAATGGTTCTCTCCCTTCAATGTCATTTGTTTCAAAAACTGAACTTGAAGCTGGAACTGACTTTAAAGGCCACCTAATCCATCTCTCCACCCACAGAGAGCTGGCTTTGTGTCCATAAGGGCACGCACAGTGAGGGAGTCCCTTTAACCCTTGGTGCAGGTACCAGCACTTTATAGAAATGTGTTGACTTCAAGTTTGAGGTTCTTCTTTTGACCATTAAAGACAATGGGAATAAAGCCCAAACACGCAGCGGGCGTGTACATGCTGAGTGTTGTTTCCTGAGGAGAGCACGCTTCTGTCTTCCAGGCTCTCTCTGTTTTCTTGCCCATGCACACAGCCATGTGAAAGGAACAGACAAGGGTTGGTATTTAATATCAATGTCTACTTAGGAAAATTATATTTAGACCACCTTCTCAAGTAATTGTTTCCAAAGTAAAATTGGGGAAATCAGATGATAAATGAGGGTGGGGTCTAATGCCACCCTTACCTTGGCTTTGGGTGGAATGTCTGCCATTCCCGAGAGCCCTCAAACTGCAGGGTATGGGGGACTCTTCCTTGGTGCTTCCTGCCACCCTTTGCCTGAACCAGTCCTCAGGGGCTGCAGGAAGTGGAGAGGCCCAAAACCACAGAGGTTGCTCCCAGACAGGGAGCTCAATGGCTCTCCCGACCCTTCCTCTCTCTCTGTTCCATTGTATGTGAGGCTTCCAAGAGCCCCTGGCCAGGCTGGTGTGGGGCAGGGAATGAAGAAATAAGTGGCTTCCATTGCATCAGGGATGCAGCAGAAAACAGATGGCACACTCAGAATAGGATCGTTCAAGGAGAGTCTATTTGCAAAGAAGTATTTACAGAGAAGTGGGTGAAGGGTAGTACAGTGACCTGGAGCTAGTAGCAGCTGAGCTGTCACTACCTCAAGATCTGAAGAGGCAAGGGACTGGAGCTGTTATCAGATGCAAGAGGAGAGTAAGTACTACGGAGACGTCACCTTGCCAGCGCGGTGCCCTTCAGTCAAGGGACACAGCCTGCCCAAGGTGGACTTACAGGGAGGGAACCAAGGGTACAAAAACCCTGACCTCAGTCTCCTCCCCCTTCTGCTCTTGGGGCAAGGAGGAAAGCAGGAGGAAGCCAGAGAGCTCGGGAGCCTGCGATGTCATAGGGTCACCACCTGGGGCAGTCACCAGGGTGGAGAAGTGTGGCTTGGAAGGACAGATGGAGGACAGTTGGCATATTCACAATATGAAGGAAAGAAGCCAAGGTTGGAAGGAAAAAGAAATAAAACGTGGGCTTTCTTTGGCTTTGGACAGGGACAAGACCTCAGCAACAGAGGAGTAGGTTTGTATTTTCCTTCTGGAGGACCTAGGAGAATGCTCATTTCTAGTTCTCCCCTCCACTTCCAGGGTTTGTGTAACTCTGTGAATCCTTATTGTTTCACACATGTTTTACAATAAGTTTATGGAGCCCCTCAAAATCAAACTTGAATTTTGATTGAGGTTATATTGAATTTATAGAGCAGTTTGGGGATAATTGATTTCTTTTTACTATTAAGTCATCCCATGCAAAAGCAGAGGGTATTTCCCTGCTTATCAAATCTTGTTTGCTCTTTATTATGCTTTTTAAAATTTAATTTTTCATGGTGGCCCTATGTATGCACGGTTAATTTTTTTCTTAAAATTTTTAATTTAAGTGTAGTTGATATACAATATTATATTGGTTAAATTAGTTTCAGTTGTACAATATAGTGGTTTGACATTTTTATACCTTACAATGTTAACACCCTGCTAATTTTAGTAATCATCGGTCACCGTGCAAACTTATCACAATATTATTGACTATATTCCCCTTTCCTTTTCACCTATTCCCCCACCCCTCCCTTCTGCTAACCATCCTTTTGACCTCTGTTTCTATGAGTCTGTTTGTTTTGGGGTTTTTTAAGATTTCACATATAAGTGAAACCGTACAGCATTTGTCTTTCTCTGCCTGACTTATTTCACTTAGAATAATACCCTCTAGGTCCATCCATGTTGCAAATGACAAGATTTCATTCCTTTTTACTGCTGCATAATATTCCATTGTTTATATGTACCACATCTTTTTTTATCCATTTGTCTTTGATGGAAACTAGGTCTCTTCCATATCTTGGCTATTGTAAATAATGCTTCAGTAAACACAGGGGTGAAACCACAAAATGCCTAGAAGAAAACATAGGAAGTAAACTATTTGCCATCAGTCTTAGTTATATCTTTTTGGATATGTCCCCTCAAGCAAGGGAAACAAAAACAAAAATAAATAAATGGGTCTTTATCAAACTAAAAAGCTCCTGTTCAGTGAAGGAAACCTTCAATGAAACAAAAAGACAACCTACCGATGGGAGAAGATATTCACAAATTATATATCCAATAAGGGGTTGACATCTAAAATTAATAAGAAACCCATACGACTCAATAACACAAAAAATAATCCAATAGAAAAATGGACAGAGCACATGAAACATTTCTCCAAAGAGACATACAGATGGCCAACAGACATATGAAAAGATGCTCAACATCACTAATCATCAGGGAAATGAAAATCTAAACTGCAATGAGATACCGCTTCACACCAGTCAGAATGGCTATTATCAAAACGTCAACAATCACATGTGCTGGCAAAAATGTGGAGAAAAGGGAACCCTTCTACACTGTTGGTGGGACTGCGAACTGGTGCAGCCCCTGAAGAAAACAGTATGGAGCTTCCTCAAAAAACTAAAAATAAAGCTATCATATGACCCAGCAATTCTACTTCTGGGCATTTATCCAAAGAAAACAAGAACACTAATTCAAAAAGATATGTGCACCACCATGTTCAGTTAAGTCTTTAGACATTCTTAGGTTTTGCTGTGATTGTGATTGGTATCTTATTGTATTTTTATTTTCAAATCAGTTATTTCTAATGTAGAGAAATGTAACCAATTTTTAAAAAATTGTGGTAACAAACACATACCATAAATTTAGCATCTTAACCATTTTTTGAGGGTACATTTCAGTAGTGTTAAGTATATTTACATTGTTGTGCAACAAATCTCCAAAACTTTTTCATCACGCAAAACTGAACCTCTGTACCCATTAAACAACAACTCTCCATTTCCCTTTCTCCCCAGTAACCACCATTCTTTCTATTTCTATGAATTTGACTACTTTATGTACTTCATATAAGTGTAATCATACAGTGTTTGTCTTTTTGTGATGAGTTATTTCACTTAGCATCATGTCCTTAAAGTTCATCCGCACTGTAACATGTCACAGAATGTCTTTCCTTTCTTCAGGCTGAATAATATTCCATGTATGTATATACACATTTTGTTTATTCATTCATCCACTGAGGGACACTTGTGTTGCTTCCTCATCTTGGCTATTATGAACAGTGCTGCTATAAATATGGGTATGCAAATACCTCTTCAAGTCCCTGCTTTTATTTTTTATTGTAGCCATTGTAATGGGAGTGAGATGATACTTCATTGTGGTTTTGATTTGCATTTCTCTAATGATTAGTGATGTTGAACATCTTTTCATATGCTTGTCGGCCATTTGTATATCATCTTTAGAGAAAGGCCTATTCAAGTCCTTTGCCCATTTTATAATTGTTCTTGTGTGTGATTTTATTTGTTGTTGTTGAGTTGTAGGAGTTCTTTATATGTGCTGGATATTCATCCTGTATCAGATATATGATTTGCAAATATTAAAATTAACCAATTTTTGTAGGTTAATCACACATGAAGCAATCTTGCTGAGTTCTCTTACTCATTTCAGTGGTTTATTTGTTATTGATATTTTCTCTGTCTTGCTCTTCTTTCTAGGTAGATGATAATATCAGCAAACACTGAAAGTATTGCCTTATAATCCTTAAAACTCTTAGTTTCCTTTTCCAACCAGGACCTCAAGTGCTGTATTAAACAGTGGCAGTGACAATGAGTATCATTGTTAAAGGAAATACAACTTAATGTTCTTCATTAACTATAATGTTTGCTGTGGGTTTTTTTTAATAAACTTTAAATTTGAGATAATTGTAGATTCACATGCAGTTGCAGAAATAGTATAAACAGATCTCATACACCCTTTACCCAGTTTCCCCTGATTTCTTGCAAAATTATGTACAATATCAGAACCAGGATACATTAATACAGAAAATTCCAGAAAGATCCAAGATGGTGGAGTAGATAAATACTGTGCCTTCTTCCTTTTGTGAGCACATTAAAATTACAACAAAATTATAGTACAATCAACCTGGAAGATCATCTGAAGCCTACCTGAACGGAACTTTTATAACTAAGGATATAAAGAAGAAGCCACGTTGAGACTGGTAGGAGGGGCAGAGATGCAAAACTGTCAGCCC